GGGGCGCCCCCGCGGCGGCCGCCCGCCCCTATCGCGTGTGTAGGGGAGGAATCACTTCCGGGGTCGGAAGGCCGGGTGCAAGCCGGCCGTTCTGGGCAGCCTTTTTCCTCGTGCCCGGCGCCTGCTTGCGAGGGCTTGCGTGACAGCCGACCTCTCCTCCTCCCCTTCCCGCAGGGTGGAAGGACCGGCGGCGCTGTCGCCGGTGGAGCGAGGAGGCGGGCTGTGCACCGCGGGGTTTTTGGGGTGCGCCGGGATCAGTAGAGGGACAGCTCCCGGGGGCCTTGAGAGTGGGCGGGAGTGCCGAGCCCTGCAGGTAACTGGCCGGCGGTGGGGCCGGCCGCCCAGCTGATGGGTAGGTAGGTTTTGAGGTTGTGTCTACGTTGGTGCCTGTTAAAGACTAAAACCCGTGAGAGGAAGAGCTGAGGACGCTGTGCTGAATGTGTAATCGAGCTTCATCTCTCTGCAGCGTCCAGAGTGGAGTTTGGACGAGTTTCTAGTTCCTGGGGTAATAGCGAAGACTAGGCGGAAACTGAGGAAGTTAGGTTGACTAATCAAAGTGACGGGAGGGTGCCTTTGTGCTCCAGGTGCAGTTGTTGGAAAGGCGATGTGTCTGTTCGGAGGCTCTCCGAGTAGAGGCTTTCTTCGAGGGCCCTGGAGCCAGTCATCTTTACGTCTGTATCTTGGGCGGAATTCCACCTGCCATCATCCCAGCCCATAGAATCTTCGCTGGAGCACTTGTGCCTGTCACGGAACTCTAGTTGGTCACTTATTTGAAACGGCTTTCTTTCTTAAACCTCCCTCCCTCGTTCCAAGAGTATGTTTTAACTCAACTCTTTAATCTGTAATAACTTTGTCACATCATTATTTTGTCCTTCATGAACTCTGGATCAGGTCTCAAAAGATGAAAATTACATTGCGAGGTGTTTGGAATTCACATTGTTTTCAAGAAGAAAAGACAAGCGTGAATAAATAAATGTTGCACCCCATGTGTGGCTCTTCATTTCAGCTTTGAACACCCTTGTGTCCAAAAAATTACAAATGGTCATTTGGCTTTTAAGTACCACGGGATGCTCAACATAACAGCACTGCACGAGGTGCAAAGGAGAAGGGCCAACAAGAACTAATTAAAATAGGATGGCCCCGTTTGAAACTTCAGGGCCATGCATTTCCTCTTGCTTCATGTTGGTTCTCACTAGTGAAATACTGCCACTAGCAACAAGTTAGAAATGGTAGTGTAATTGAATAGATCAAGTAGAGATTGCTGTGGGCACTCTTCTGATTCCAGAACTTCCAAAGAGGAATATCTTGCTTCCAAGTCATCTTGACTTTCTCAGAACAACAACAACAAAGGGATCCCCCCCCCATAACTTCATATTTTTCTGTGATGCCTTGGAGGATTATAGGTTCCCAGTTTGAATAAATCATTGGAGTTAAAACATATTTGAAAGTTTTCCCCTTTATGGTGTGTGTGTGTGTGTGTGTTTGTGTGTGTGTGTGTGTGTGTGTGTGTGTGTGTGTGTGTGTGTGTGTGTGTGCACCCATGCCATGGATCATGGTAGGAACCTTTGGAAGTCACTTCCGTCTTTTGGCCATGTGTGTGGGTCTTGGAGATCTTTTATAGCACCAGCAAACTGACTACACCATCAGATGACAGTTTATGTTTCTTTCCCTCTAATACCTTGTTACCATAGTTATTTGTTCTAATCAGATACTCAGCTCATTCTGATTCTTTGAAGTGCAGGAATCATGATATAGAAACCTCTGTACACCTGAACCTGTTACTAAATTAGATGTATGATGGGTACTTGCTAGTTTATATCCACCCAACACAATTCCTGAGACAGTTAATGCAGGATAAAATACTAAATGAACAAGTTCCTGGCTGCTCCAGCTTTTCTATGAGCCTTGCCAGTCCAACCCCAGTATCGATGACCACTATTAACACTGGTATCAGCTAGGTATAAACTCAATTGCTATGGCTGTACCCCAGACAGCCCTCTTCCCTCACAACCACCACTACCACCACCATTACTGCTAGTTCCAGACTTTATTGTGCTGTGGTCCCTGACCCTCACCTCACTACAGATGCTTCCAGTAGGACCTGATTGCATTGTGTTTCATAATCCTGCTTGGGATATGAAGGATCCCCATTTTCCTGAGCCTTCCTGATGATCATCGTCCCTTGATCCTGATGGTTTCTGCCTTATTAAACTTCCATCAAGTCTTCAGTTGAGTGGGTGGTACTGCTTTACTTGTCAGGGGAATGTCACGTCATGATTCAATCAACTTGTGGCTCATCTGCTGTCAGAAGCAGCCTCTGCATCTATCTGCAAGGAGCCATGTATAGTAACCCCACTCCCCCCTCTTTCACTGTGACTGATAACTCATGAATAATTTATGCACTCATTTGCCACCTTTATGCCCACTCACGGGTTTAGAAGATCTTTTCATTCCTATTGACTTAGTTCATTGCCACTTACAAGAATTCGTATCTTTTGGAAACGTAGGAATGCTGCCTTGTACTTCACTGTTATTTTTTGGAAAAAAAAAAAAACCACTTAATTACAATTTTGTTAGGTTTGCACGTGTGTGGACATTCAGGTGCCATGGCACACATGTGTAGGTCAGAGAACAACTTGCTGGAGTTGGTTCTCTCTACCAGGTGGGGCCCAAACTTCAAACTCCAGCTGTCAGACTTGGTGGCAGGCATGTGTGTGGGAGGCCGATTTCAAGTTTGGAGGTTATTCCTCAGAAGTTATTCACCTTGTATTTTGATGTAGCATCTCTCATTAAACCTGGAGCTCTCCAATTCAGCTAGATTGGCTAGCTAGCAAGACACAGACATACTCTTGTTTCTGCTTTTCCAGCACTAGGATTACAGCATGCATGACTAGCTTTGTATCACTACAAAGGTGCCAATGACGCAAACTCAGATTCTCATGCTGTATACCAAGCACTCTAATGATTTGGCCATCTCTTCAGCCCACTTTATGGTTTTAATTTTCCTTTATTTAATAGCTCCTGTTGATAGCTACCTTTTCATGAACTGATTTTCTACTTATGTATTTTTCTGAGTCTGTCTTTCATGGTTTTGGCTTATTTTATAATTAAATTCTCTGGTTTTTTTTTCAATGTTGACTTTTGAAAATTTACAGATACTAGAGACTAGTTCTTTTCTGAATGCATGGTTTGTGGGTATTTTTGCTTGTCTTTATTTTGTGTATCCATATAAATAAATTTCTTTTCAAGTTTATATTTAAAAGTTTTAAAATTAGAATCCTGGGTTTTATCATAATTTTTTCAAACAAAATTTATATGTATATTTATTTATTCACCACTCATGTCTTGTCTTCGATGCCTGTGATCATCTTGTCATCTTCCACAGCATCTTTTCCTTTGTGCTACATGTCTTGTTGCCTTCCTTCTTTCTTCACTTCTGTGTTCTTCACTAGTTTCATAACCTATCCCCAAGCTGACCTCTGACCTTCCACTTGGCCATAGAAACGTTATAAGCTGTGAACCATGTATGGGAGACAATATTGTCTTTTTCAGTCGGTGTTACCTTGTTTATAATATACTTTCTAGATCTATCCATTCCCTGCAAATTTCATGATTTCATTTTTCTTTACAGGTGAATAAAATGATATTGTGTCTATGAACTACATTTTCATTAACCACTCATCTGTTACAGATATCCAGCTACTACCATTTCCTAACTATTTAAGCAATGCAGTGATAAACATTAATATGCAAATGTATCTAAAGAGTTCTTTGGATCTATGTCCAAAGACATGGTATAGCTGGTCATATGGTTTTATTTTATTTTTTTTACAAAAATATCCATACTGGTTTCCATAATGGCTACATTTATTTACACTTCTGCTCTCAGTGAATAAGAGTTCCTCTTTCCCCATATTCTCGCCAGCGCTGGATGTTGTGCCTTTTCTTTATAGCTATTCTGAGAGGGGTGAGGTAGAATTGCAGAGTAGTTTTTAATTGCATTTCTTTGATGGCTAATGATGTTGAACATGTTTGTGTTTGCTTGATTGATTGTTTTGCTTTGATAAAGGTTTAATTTTGTAAAATATTCTAGGTGTTAACCCCTTGTTTGAAGTATTGTTGGCATTTTTTTCTCGAATTCTATAGGCAGTCTGTTTGCTTTGTTGATTGTTTGCTGGGCAGAAAGTGTTTAATTTTGTGAAGTCCTGTTTGCTAATTCTTCGGACACTTGCTGTGCTGCTGCAGTCCAATTGCCTATATCTAGACCTATAACTTGAAGTGAATTCTCTGTGTCTCCCATAGTTTCAGCACTTCAGGCTTTAAATTAAAATTTTTGGTTTACTTTGAATTGACTTTCATATAGGGCAAAAGATATGCAACTAATTTCTTTCTTCTACTGGTGGATATTAAGGCTCCTCTCCCTTATTATAGTGCTTGAAACTGAAGTCTTAGCTAGAGAAATAACACAAGACATAAACGTAAAAGAATAAAGATAGGAAAGAAATAGGTTGAAGTATCCCTATTTACAAACAACATGATTCTATATTTAAAAGATACTACAACTCTACCAGATAACTCTTAAATAACAATTAAAAATCCTGAAACTTTCAGTAAAAAGTTGCAGGATACTAAATCAACATACAAAACCCTGCGGCTTTTGGTCAGGTGTAGTGCTACACATCTTTAATTTCTGCAGAAGGAAGCAAAGACAGGTGGGTCTCTGTGAGTTTGAAGCCAGTCTGGTCTACATAGTGAGTTCCATCCCAGCCAGAGGTATACAGTGAGAAACTGTCTCAAAAAAAAAAAAACACAAAAAACCAAAAAGCAACAAACCAAAGCAAATAATACATAGCAAAAGGTCAGTGGCATTCATACATACCAAATGAACTCTGAGAAAGAAATTGGGAAACTATCTCCTTACTAGCTGAAGAGCCAAAGGGGCATCCCTTCTGAATCTTGTGTCCCTAATAGCATCTGCCAGGCAAGTGTCCAAGGCCCCAGTATGAGAAAGCTGGTGACAGGGTATTAAGGGTAATGTGTCCTCTGGATTTTAAGATAGGCTGGGAGAGCCATTCTCTCAGTGCTGAGGAATAACTACTGCTGGTCTTGCTGTTTTGCTCTTCCAGGCCTGTTATAGAAACCTTAGCTCAGGCAAAGTGGTGAGGAGTCATCTTTCCCATATATGTATATGTATTTTCTAAGAAATGGGCTTAGCTAGGAAACTAATGTGTTGGAAGATTTTCTATCATGTAGACCAAACCTTTTTTCCTCTTTCTTCTCTCCCTCCCCCTCTCTCCTTCCCTCCCTCTCTCTTCTTCCTTCCTTTCTTTCTTCCCTTTCTTTCTTTTTTTCTTTCTTTCTTCCTTTCTTTCTTTCCTCTTCCTCCTCCTCTTCTTGTTTTTATTGTTGTTAAGGCTTTTTAAAGATTTTAAATTTTAATTAGAAAGATTATTTTACATGTCAATCCCAGGTTCCTTTCCCTCCCCTCTTCCCCAGCCCCCCAACTAACACCCTACCTATCCCATACCCTTTCTGCTCCCCAGGGAGGGTGAGGCCTTCCATAGGGAATCTTCAAAGTCTGTCATTCTTTGGGATAAGGCCTAGGCCCACCCCCTTGTGTCTAGGCTCAGGGAGTATCCCTCCATGTGGGATGGGCTCCCAAAGTCCATTCCTATGCTAGGGATAAGTACTGCTCAACTACAAGAGGCCCCATAGATTTCTGAGGTCTCCTCACTGACACCCACATTGAGGATCAGTCCCATGTTGGTTTTCCAGCTATCAGTCTGGGAACCAAGAGCTCTCCATTGTTCAGGTCAGCTGTTTGTGTGGTTTTCACCAGCTTGGTCTGGACCCCTTTGCTCATCAGTCCTCCTTTTCTGCAACTGGATTTCAGTTCAGTTCAAGGTTTCGCTGTGGGTGTCTGCTTCTACTTCCACAAGCTGCTGGATAAATGCTATAGGATGGCATATAAGTTAGTCATCAATTT